GTGTGCATGTCTTTGTAGTCATTTTGTGTCTATTTTTTGATTTTTTTGGTTTAGCATTTAGTACGTCTGCAGTCGTGTTGCAGTCGTTTGCATGTCTTCGTGGTTGTTTTTTTGTCTTTTTGCATCTTTTGTCATGTCCTTGTGGTCGTTTTACGTTTCTTTGTGGTCAGTTCATGTGCCTTTGTAATCAGTTTGCATGTGTTTGTTCATTCTGAGTCTCTTTGTGGTTAATTGTGTGTCTCTTTGTTGGTCCTTTTGGTTTAGCATTTAGCACGTCTGCAGTCGTGTTGCACTTCGTTTGCATGTCTTCGTGGTTATTTTTGTGTTTTTGCATCTCTTTGTGGTCATTTTGTGTCTCTGTGGTCATTTCATGTGCCTTTGCAGTCACTTTGCATGTGTTTGCGGTCATTCTGAGTCTCTTTGTGGTTAATTGTGTGCCTCTGTTGGCCCTATTGGTTCCCTTCCTAAACATTTTTCACGTCTCTGCAGTCATTTTGCATTGTTTTCTGGTCATCTTGAATCTTCTTGTCTCCTACTGATCACGTTGCATAACTTTGCAATCATCGTGCATGCTTTTGTGGTCATTTTTTTGTGTCTTTGTTGTCATTTTGTTGTCTCTTTCTGGTAATTTCGCTCCTCTCTCTTTTTACTTTTCAGTGGCGTGAGTTTAGCTCACCGCCAGTTTGTCGCTGGTCGTTGCTTGAGCCGGAGCGTACACGTTCAGATACAGACAGTCCTCTGAGAGCTCCGGGGGGCTGAACTGTAGCGACATGGTTCTGGAAACATTCACAATTATTTCTGGATCCTGGATGCACCTGAGACACACAGAGACGAGGAAGGACAGCGAGTCAGATGGTGTGGAAACTGGAGTCTTGCTGTGTTTCGTGCTCCGTGTGGTGGTCTTACATGGGGGGCTGCTTGGTTCCGTCTCTCTCCCCCTCCCAGGGCTCCACATCCTGGGGAGCAGCCAGGCGGAGAGGCCCGACGGGGGGCCGGGCGAAGGGGATGCCCAGGTACTGCTTCACCCTCGTCTCTGTGCCTTTCACGCTCACGTATTCTCCTCTGATTCGGCCATTTTTCAGAGAGACCACAGGGTCGCTGCTCGCTGCTGAGGACACAAAGGTTTGTGTTTTAAAGAAGTCACAGTTTTTAAATAAGACGAGTTTGTCTGCAAGTTGTTTTCATGGACAGTTATGTGGACGTGCATGACGGAGTGGTATAAACACGTGCATTGTAAACTCTGGTGCTGGAATTTGGGAACAAATACACATAAGTAGAGCAAAGGTCCTATTTTGCTGCCATTTTATATAGATTATATATATAAATATATTTTGAACACCTTTGTACTGGCACCACCTACAGGCCGCTTGATAGAAACACACCGACTCTCTTGGCCACATGAACTGTTATTTGTAAAAAAGCACAAAAACACTTTGCTGGTAAACTTTGAATTGTCAAAGCAGAAGCACAAATTTAACAGCGTTTATATGAACAGAAAACACAAGAAATCGTCTTCGTTGGTTGGTTATACATAGTTCTGCAAGTTCTACACACCAGGTGAGAAACTTTCCAAAGACAAAAAGCCTCCAAGAGCTGAATCTCAAACATTTTCCTCTGAGCTCTATTCTCATTCAACCGCCACGCAAACATGCTGAGCAGCAAGTTATGGTGAATAGAAACAAAAATGAGCAACCATAAAATAAAAATACAGTTTGTAATTGAGTTTGTTTTCAAATGCTATTACTTAATATGCATTTTTACCCCCCCCTCCCAAGTCTTTAGACCTTTTCATCCTGACAGTTTTGGATCACCAAAAAAACACGGAGCTTTTGGAAAACTCCTTGCAGAGTGAAAACCTTCAAAAACTCAGTTTGCATTGTAAATATGTCGACTGGCTCTTTGGTTTGTGATGTCATAGTGTGGGCTGTTATCTCCTTTGTTTACATGAAGAGATTTTGTGCAACACCAGACGTATTTAAAGTGGTTAACTGATGCAAACCTCGCTGACAGTTTGTGAAGAAAAGACCATCTGAGTGAAGTGAATGTGTCTCAGTGACTGTAGAATAAAGACTCTTGTATCTGGAAGGTCCAGCCACTGGTGAATCAGTACTCTTGGGCAGAACTGCACCATGATCAGTAAAGAACACTACAAGCAACC